ATTCCTGCTAAACACCACCCACCACTTGTGTCAAAATAGCAAGGAAATTCTCTTCATTTTCAAGAGACAGGTAATGGCTAAGCATTGCTTCTTGTGCAGAAGAGGGGATGGGCAGAGGACTCGTAGCACAGTGTGGCAATAGAAAGTAGGTCCAGCTGCAGGCAGCAGTATCCAGTACCAGTCTGCAGTGACCTCACACTAAGCCAAACTGAGTTGAACAAAAACTGGTTTTGGTTCCCAAATGGTTTTCACAGAATTCCTGAAATTCTCCTCTAATCTCTGTCCAGCTAATAGAGAAGCACCTAGAACAGAAAAGGCATGTGAAAACTGTCCTGTGCCAAAGCTATTGTCTCTTACTTTTTGCAGTCCCATGTAGTCTTAGGAATGAAAACAAAGTCTTTATGGGGTTGATGAGGCTAAAGGCTTCCTTTAGAAGCATAACATATGAAACTCCAGACATTTTGTAAAATATTTTGCTAGTTCTCAATGTATAAAACACCTTCTTCCCAGTCAGCAGGAGTGATCAAACACTATCTTGCATCTCTCTGTATATTCCCAAAGCTAATAACCACAACACACTTCCTTATCATGAAAATTACCAGCCATCTGGAGGCTGCAAGGATTTGTGGTCTTTTGCAGAGTTGTCTTAGCAATTACTGTGTCTTCCTACACAATTTTCTCAAGCTCCCACACACTGCCTTTAAGTACCTTGAATAAAAAGGGAGTTATATCTGCCACATTTGGAAATAGTAGCAACCAAATAGTACTTCCCATGTTGTAATTCATAAACACAAAGAAACCCATAGAGATTTCCCATGTGGGCAACTCTTATTAGTTAAGCTCCTTCTTCTTGTATATGGCTTTTCTCCTTTTCTTTGGACCATATTTGTCAATGCCTTAGGTCTGAATACCCATAAAGTGTTTGACATTTTTCAGGGTGATGTCCTGGAAGAGACTCTTGTCAAGTTTACAGATGGCACAAAACTGGGGCAAACAGTTAATACATTCTAAGGCAGGGCTGCCATTCAGGGCAGGTTTAGACAGGCAAGAGGAAGTGGCTAATAGAAACTTCATGAAATTTCAAAACACATTTTCAAGTGCAGGATGTAGGAAGCAAGAGCTCATTGGAACAATACAGCCTGGGACCTGACTGGCTGGGGAGCAGCACTATGGAGAAGGACTTGGAGATGTGGATGTATATGTCAGCTGGACATGAATGAGTCAGCAACAGAGATGGCTAAAAGCATCCTGTGCTCTGTTAACAAAAGTATAGTCTGCTGATAGAGGGAAATGGTTAACCCCCTATACACAAAACTCAGACCAGGTCTTGATACTGTTCCACAAGAAGACATTGACTTTGTTTAGTTATAAAAAGTTCCCATTAGCCAGTTCCTCTTACCTGTCTAGGTCCCACAGGGTGGCAGCATTGCCCTTGACTGTATTGAGTAGCTTCCCCAGTTCTATGTCGTCTGTAAATTTTATGAATGTGCACTCCCATTGCCTCCTCCAGATCACTGGTAAGCTTGTTGAACAGAACTGGTCACCATTACAGACACTTACAGACCCTTGGTGACCTCTAAGTAGAGTACAATCCATTACCCATGACACAGAGTCTGAACACTCTACTGGCTTTTTATCTATCTTATTGTGAGAGATAGTGTCAGAAGTCTTAACAAATCAAGGTAAAAGACATTCACTGCTCTCCTCTAGTCTACAAATCCTGACAATTTTAAATAAAAGGTTGGCAAGTTTATCAACCGTCAGTAAATTCATGCTGACTGTTCCCTACCACCTTCTTTATGTGCACCAAGCAGACTCACTTTATGAACTTCCCAGGGCTTGGTTGAACTTCCCTGGCTGACCAGGCTGAAGTTTCATGGGGCTTGCTTTGGCCTTTTCTGAAGACTGGTGCAACATTTGCTTTCCTCTAGTAATGAGGGACCTCCTTCAATCTTTATGACCTTTCAAAGATACAGAGTACAGTCTTGCTACCACATCAATCAGCTCTCTTAGCACTTTGGATGCAGTCTGTCTGGTCCCATGGATTTTCATGTGTTGAATTCTCCTAGTTGTTGATTTGATCTACATCTGCCTCCTTCATGAACTCTTCCACTAATAAGAGAGAGCTGGGAGACCTTGTTGGTGAAGACAAAGAAGTCATTAGTCATCTCAAGCTTATCTATGTCTGCTGTTACCAAGTAATTTATGAACCCTTTGTTGATGCAGCATTTTCCCTTTTCAGCTTTTCATTACTAATGCACCAGTAGAAGCTCTTCTTGTTGTTCCTAACATTCCTTGCAACTGTCAAGGTAAGCTTTGGCTTTCCTAACAGTACCCCTCCGAGCCCAGACAATTTTTCTAAATTCCTCCTTTGTATCCTGTCCCTGATTCCACCTCTAAAATGCGGTCTTTTTGCACTGGAGCTCTGCCATTATATGTGTTCTTAATAAAAGCAGTTTTATCCATGAAAGTGCTTAGTTTCCTGAGCATTCTTGCACTTGGAGGACTGCGTCCTTAAAGACCGGTCAATTTTTCTAAGCTCTTAAACTCTTTAGAGCTGTCTCCCATTAAACTTCCCCTACCTGCTGCATTGAAGTCCACTAGCCTGAAGTTTGGCATCTGTACCCTGCTAATCTTGTTCCTTACACCCTTCAGGATCCTGAAGGCCAGCCATTTATTTCATGGTTGCCACAGCAAAGGCTGTCGTTGATTATCAAGTCTTCAATTGGTTCTTCCTTAATAGTGAATAGCAGATCCCACTGTGTCAACACCAGTTCACTCATCCATTACCAGTGTCAACCAATTATCTCAAACACCCTGCAGAAATCTTCCTCCTTGCAACTCACCACGTTGCCCTTCTAGACAATGTCACAGTCCCCTATGAGGACACACAGATTTCCTCCGGTTGTTTATAGACATCTTAGTCTACCTCCTCACCTAGACCAAGCAGTCTGTAACGTACTCCTACCATGTTATTTTACATGTTTGAAATTTATCAAGTCAGTAGCCTTCACCTGCCCAAGTGATTTCACAGCCTGGATACCTGGCTTTCAGCTTCTCTGTATGCACAGAACAATTTCCTCTCCAAAACCCCACAGCAAATCTATAAACACATACGATCTTCTCCTCACTCTGGTGAAGGATCCTTCTCACTCCCAGGCACTAACAATCTTACGTCTGCTTCTTAAGCTCTACCTGGTGACATCTGCACACAACTGACTTGCTGGTGCTGGTCTTTGTGCTAGCTGTAAGGCATATACACACTAGCACATATCTGAAAACACTGACAGGCTTAACATCCACACCAACATCACGCACCACCATGTCTTTTTGCTGCCATCACCACCCTGCCCTTCACACCACACTGTCACTAAAGCCCCAATTTTACACACATAATTCCCACAGGCTTTTTCAGGGAAATCCACATTGACGCCACTTTCAAGATGACTGGCCTCATCTCAGTGAAAAAGAATCAAGGCTGAGAATTCCATAAAAAGGAAGGCTTCTTCTTTTTTTTTCTTTTTTTTTCCATAGATAACTTTTTTGTGGCTTTTTTTAGGAGAAAGTCACATGAAGGAACTTGGTAGATGGATGACGCTTCCTTAGCACACTACAATGTCTTGAAAGTTTTGCTTATCACAGTTAGCAATGATCTAAAACCCTGCAAGACTAGCTGCCAAAAAAGTGCTTGAAAGAGCAAAGAGGACAGAGAGACCCTGTGGTCAATAGTGCAGTGTATCGACAAACTCATTAAAATGTCATAAAAAGAAGTACCCTTAGGACCAAAACAGTGGCTTTCAAACAAAAACTGATTTCACTGATGCTTATATGACAGTAATTTCTTTGATTCAAATTAACCAGTTGTTTTAGCTTACATCTATAGCTTGTAGTTATTGACAATACATTCACAATAGGTTAACAGACTGACCTTTTATCTTCTTTTCAGGGACAGTAAGGTTGGCTTTTTGGACTTTTGAAGCAGTGGCCAGATGCTTTCAAAAGGAAGTTAAAGTATGTGAGTTTAAATCTCATTAAAAAGGCCTCTTTTTTTTTTTTTTTTTTAAACAAACTTTCCTTTTGTTCATACCAGCACTTACTTTTTTTTAAAAGACCCCAAGAGAGAGTTCCAATCTATAGATCACTTGTCCTGAAGAAAGCTCTGTTAACTATTTATAGATCATGTCCTTCTGTACCAAACTAGATCAAGCAATTTATTCAGTGCATGACTGCAGGAGAGAAATTCATTTGCTCCAAGTGTCATCAAGGCAGCCTTTTACCTGCTATGAACAAGACCAAAAGATCTGAATTGCTGGGCTTTTACTTCAAATGTACATTTTGATATTGTGTGGGGTGCCATGATTTCTTTCAAGTTTCCAAAGTATTAAGCACATTCATAAAATGGACAGGCCTTAATCACAAGAAGAGCAAGTAGCTCATAACCATTAGAATAAAGCAAACACATGTATGCATTCAAATTCTCTTTTTTTTTTTTAAGTAGCACACATAGTTGCAAATCAGCATTAGCTGCTTTGGTATATCTCAGTTTAGAAATGAGCACATGCCAACCTAGAGACCAAGGAGAGGAGCCACACAACAGGCACCAGCCCCTCAGCTTAACAAGCAAAATCAAAACAAGAGAGAGAAGCAATGGCCTTCATCACCTCTAATCAGCAAGTGCTTTCTTTGAGCATTCACCAGGGAAGTGATCCTCTCTGTAAAACCCAGTAGTCTGTACACAGCAAAAATGTTCCACTGTGGCAAATGCTTGGTTTTATTACTTCAGTTTTCTTTGTCAAGTCATTACTAACATGACCTCTTATATGTGTAACCTGTCAGAGTCCAATAAGCTAAAAAAAAAAAAAAAAAAAAAGAAGAAGAAAAAAGTGAAAGATACAGTAAGAAAATAAATCAGCTATTAAAAATCATTGACGTTTGCTGGCAATAGTTCAGATGGGAAAAGCACAGCTGGCTGGAGGAACATGGGTGTCTATCGTTAAAGGATGAGGAGAAGAAAGAACATGCCTTGCTCTCCTTTTCCAGATGTTTTACCTAGGGTGCCCTGGCTCTGCCTAGCTAGATATTCTCCAACCTGGCTACAGGGATTGCTCCTCGATGGTTAGAAAATTGTGCAGGTGGTTCCAACAGTGTTGCTACTGTTATGTGCATACAGGGCACTTTCAAAGTTGCATTGCACTCCAGCTTTCCCTGGCCAACAAGATAATGTGTTTGGGATATTCTTGTTTTCTGTCTTGAAAAGGGGTCTAGCATAGAGCCCAATGACAGAATCAAGGTCATTGAGAGCATTTTGCTCAGAGTTATAAATACACTGGTAAAATAAATAGTGAAAAGGTAGACACTGCTGGTTTAGTAGCTTTTGAGTCATGATTCATGCCTATATACTGAAATGACTAAGCAAGCCTGACTCCTAAAGGACTTTCATCTGCAGAGTTTCCATTAGTCCTCTTCAGAGGCACACAGGGATCCCAAGCCCTATCCCACTTGACAGTATAAATTCTCAGAGTAAAATTATATTATTATACCAAAGTGTCACTACAAAACATGACAGACTGAAATTCATGCTACCATTTTAGACAAAAAAATATGGTTTTGAATGTATTTGTTTTTTAAAGCATTAATCTAATATGTATAATCAATTAATGAAAGTTATGCAATAAGGATACACAAGATAAGAACAGGTTATTTATTTATTTATTTTAACATAGAGAGACCATATCACAAAAAGCTGGATCTCCAGCTTAGAGACAAGAATTAATGAATTCTGCCTTGACTGCCAAAGTGCTGCTGACAAGTCATACATAACTCTCAAGTCTCTTAATTTTTGTTTCCTTAACTGGAAGAGAGGGGTGGGAATTAATAGTGGCTATCAAGGAGCTCCCAATACCCCCACCCAGATATCTATTTGAAAAGTTATCATCAGAGAATATAAATCAGGAAGATTATTTTTAAAAGACTACTTGAAGAATAAAAAAGACAGGCAGACCAACATATGCACACATATCCCCAGCATTTAAAAAATAAATAATTTTTTCTACTGGTCTCCTTTCTAAACTGAGAATTATGCATTACATAGACTTCCACATCTCGTCTAAACAAAACAATCTGAAGAGCATCTGAAATCATGAGAACCATAACCATCAACTGAAAAGTGTTTATTTCACATACCATTTACAAATTGATAATTGAAATTCAACAAAATCAGCAGGCTTCAAAATGGCTAATGAGAAAGAAAAGCATCACTTTATTACACGTGGAAGTCACACTCTACCTCAGCCTAATTACGGAGGTGGTCACACAGGACAGCGTCTTCCACTGACTTAAATTACTTTTCCCATCATACTACTGTGGCCCCTAGGCCTTCTTCTCTTTGAATTAGTGAACAGCTACAATAAGCAACAGCTTAAAAATAAATAAATAAAAGTAAAACAATGTCTTTGATTTGACATTGTGTAGTGACAAGAAGAAAGTACAGTGGGCAACTGGATATGGATTTCATCCAGCAGTTCCAACCTGCTGCTCTCAGCTGTCACAACAGGATATAGGTCAGCACTACTCCTTTGGATATCCCCAGCCCAAGGTTATTCAACACTTAAACTAAAAGCTTTACATGAAAAATATCTCCTATTGCATATCTTCCCCAAATTGCCCCAGATGCTTCAGGACAAAAAGTGTATCACAGAATCAAACCTGCTCATTTTTAAAGCCAAATCTATTTTTATATCATCTATGATCCAATGTGTGCCCTCCAATCAGACAGCCAAAGCAACACTTCTCAATGCTGTTATCAATCCACTGGAGTAAGGAAAAAACCAAAATGGTAGCAGCTAGAGTAGGTGTGTGGTTTCCCAAGTAAAAGAAAAATACCAGTTGTAGGAAACTGTATCCTTCTTAGAGTCAGCAGATTAAAAAAATACTTTAATTTTTTAAATAAAAATAAGCATTGAGGAAGAAGAGACTTGATGCAGTAAAAATTACCTGTAAACCTATTTCCATTGTTTGGTTAGTTTCCAAGCTTAATAACTTTCAAATCAAAGCAATTGCTTTCACTGATGACTTTCAAGATGATGATCAGAATTAACAGCAGAATCAGATGCTTCCCAAATCCCATCCATCACTCCTTGCTAACCAACCACACACTTGAATCATCTCTCTTGGGCATGTACGACCAGCAGTAAGACAACAATACTCATTTTTATCAAAACACATCAGCCATCTTGCAGGGAAAAGAAAGAAGTGTAAGGAATTACCAGGAGTAATAGTAGACATATTATCTCTTTAGAAACCCTCCTCTAGATTTTACAATAAGCCCAGAAAAGGCAGTAAGAATGTCACTACTCCAGAGGTGTCAGTGATAAACAGAAAAGGGAAGAACACAAGCCAGTGCACAAGAGATAAGGATGCAAGGGCGATGCAGCAGGGAGAAGACAAGATCTCACAAGAGTCACAGGCCACTTACAGAAAAGAATACTACAAAGATTTAAAACATTTCCATAAGCAGAACAAATTAAGTTATATAGCAATGTAAAAAAGATGTTTACATCTAATGCTATTTACCTTAGCAGTTAATGGGATTGCATTGTTTATGTTAATAAACTGATTACCATTAACTCTCTCAAAAGGTATAAAAGTACTGTTTGTGAATACTCCTCTTCAAATTTAGCCTTCCCTCATGGCTCCAGCTACTCACACTTCAATAGGTGATAATGGCTTGATACTGACTTTTTACCAGAGTAAGCCCAAATTCTCTGCGCTAATTGAACCAATTCAGTAAGAAAAAATATTTTCTTCAAAAATGCCATATAAGTTGAATTCGAGTTATTTTTTTATGTTTTGGGTTGGACAATCTTAATTACATTTTTAGCACATAAAAACTGATATGGAAACTGTTCCACAAGTTGTTTGGAACATTCAGTTTTCCGATCTACGTAAATGTAAGGGAAAAAGTGAAGTGCACACCCTGAAAGAATTTGGCATTAGAGACAGATCACCTACATCCTTTAGCATTAAACAAAGACAATTTCCTCATGAAGTGATTATGATACTGTAACTACAAAATTGCAGTCAGCACCTGCTAAACAGCCTCCTTATTTTGATCACCTATAAATATTCAGACTTTGGGCAAATAAAAAATATACATCTTTGTAACAGTTGTCAACAAGAACAGAATAATTTTTACACTGTCCTAAATAAAACATGCAGACATCACATATTAAGCTGCATATTTACAACACCACAAATTCTGGAGATAAGACTTAGATATCAAATAGATACTTAGAAGAAAACTCCTGGAGATTACAAAACAATCA